AAAGAGCAGCGGCCGACAAAGGAGCAAGCAGCCGTGAAGCCGACTACGGAGTAGTCGGCGACCGGGCCGTAGGCAGGAGAGCCGACCACAGGGGAGAAGTCGGCTGGGACGCCGACCACAGGGGAGCAGTCGGCTGGGACGCTGGCTGAGGAGCAGCAGGACGCCGAGGGCAGCGACGACAGCGACGATGGAGGGGATGCCGAGGAGGCCGAGCCAGGACCACGGCGTTCAGGCCGACTTCAGAGGCCGTCTGACTTCTTCGTCCCCGCTACCTTCACCACGGTGTATGACGTCGACGATGATGACCTGCTGTACGACAACGCCGAGGAGGATGAGGAGTTTCCAGAGCTCGACCCCGACATGCTAGCCGACCCCGAGCACCGTTGGGACATTTCGACGATGACGGTGAAAGAGGCATTGGCAAGCTGGAAGGGCCCGGCGGTGAAGGCCGCCATGGAGGAGGAGATTCGCAGCCTCATCAACATGGGCACTTGGGAGCTGGTCGAACGTCCGCCGAGGGTGAACGTCATGAAGAACCGGTGGGTGTTGACGACGAAGTACCACGTCAACAACACCGTCGAGCGCGAGAGGGCGAGGCTGGTCGTGAAGGGCTTCACACAGGTGTACGGCGCCGACTACGACGAGACGTTCGCGCCGGTGGGCAGCTACGTCACGCTGAGGATCTTCCTCAGCATCGTCGCCATCCTCGACCTTAACCTGATGCAGCTCGACATGAAGAACGCCTTCCTGCAGAGCAAGCTCGATCGGGTGCTATACATGTCCCAGCCGGACTACTTCAACGACGGAACCGGCCGGGTGTGCAAGCTGCTGAAGAGCCTGTACGGGCTGAAGCAGTCGCCGCTGTTGTGGTACTTGGCGCTCAACGATGTGCTGGTCGGTGCCGGGTGGAAGAAGAGCCAGGTCGACGAGGCTCTCTACTTCAAGGTCGGCGAGGGTGGAGTGGCCTGCTGGGTGCTGGTCTACGTCGACGACCTGCGTGCCGCCAGCAGCAGCGCCGCGATGCTGAAGGAGTTGAAGGAGCTGCTGGATACGCCGACATGCTGTGTAGCCACTTCATCAACGAGGAGCAGACCGGGCGCATCCCGAAGACGCCGGTCTCGGTCGGCGCCTACGCGGAGCTCACCTTCGACAATGAGGAGGCGCAGGAGCGGCAGGAGGAGGAGTACCGGCAGAAGGTCAGCTCGCTGCAGTTCGCGGCGACGACGACGAGGCCGGACATCGCCTTCGCCTGCAGCAAGCTGGGTAGCGGCCTCACGGTGAGGAGCGACCAGCACTGGCGTGAGGTCGACCGCTGCCTCGCCTACCTCGCCAACACATGTGACACCGCTCTGGAGTTCGGCGGTGGACCTGAGTCGCTGGAGCTGGCTGGCTACGTGGACGCCGACGACGCTGGTGACAAGCAGAACACGACGAGCACGGGCGGCTACGTGTTCGTCTACGGAGGGGCTGCAGTCTCCTGCTCGAGCCAGCGCATCAAGTGCGCAACGTTGTCGTCGACCGAGTCGGAGTACGTGGCGCCCACTGAAGCTGGCAAGGAGGGACGCCGCCTTCGCTTCCTCCTCGCCGAGTTCCGGCAGCTGGACGCCGGGAAGCCGACTGTCCTACGTGTGGACAACAAGTCGGCTATCACGGTCACCGAGGGCATGAGGTTGACAGGCAACCTCAAGCACATGGAGCGGCGACAGGCCTGGCTGCAGCCATTGGTGAAGCGCGGGAAGTTCTCGCTGCAGTACATCCCAACTGCTGGGCAGCCGGCCGACTTCCTGAGGAAGGCACTGCACTATCCGGCCTTCAACCGGTGCTCCGTCGCAATCGGCCAGGTGCGCTTGGCCGACGGAGGTGACGCCGACAACGACGTGCAGCAGTAGGTGCCATGCCCTCTTGCATGGCTGGTGCAGTGACCGGCGTGCTGTGTGTTGGGTGCACGCCGACGGGCTATTCTCGGAGGTGTACTGCCGTGTGGGCTAGGGGCCCAAGCGTGAACGCGGCAGGGGAGTGCCAACGGGAGCGTTGTAAGGCCCCGTCCTCGCTTGGGCGGAGCCAACCTTGTGGTCGGATGTGCGGGGGTTGCAGCCGGCCTGCAGCAGTGGGCACGGGGGCCACTACAAGGGCGCCAAGATGGAGGGCGCCTGGCTGGAGGGCGCCGAGCAGGAGGACGCCGCCCTGGACGCCGGGTTGGCATCTCGGACGCTTGGACAGCGTCCTGGGAAGCTGGACGCCGAGCTGGGCGTCGCCACGACTACCCAGGCGACTAATCGACGTCGTGGGCGCCTGCACAGCTCCGGGGGGTCCAGACACCGACCTGGGTGTGTGGTCGGCGTCCTGGGAGGAGGGACGCCGCTCTGGAGGTTTGCTCGGCGTCCTGGGCATCTGGACGCCGACCTGGGGGTTTGGAAGGCGTCCTGGGCGCCTAGACGCCGGACTAGGGACGTCGGGCATGCGTGGCCAGCTACGGACTGCGTGGGTCGACCAGGCGTGGTTGCCCGGTCGATCGGGATACCCGGGCGACGTACGCGAGTGTCGCCAGGGAGGAGTATGCGACGCCGAACTCGGGGGTGGTATCCTGAGGTCGACGTGGCTGGTGGGCACAGTCGCTGGCGTGGAGTCTGCTAGGCGTCTGCATTGTGCACGTGACAGGGAAGTGCGTACCAACCAGCTACGCGCACCTGGGAAGCAGGTGCACCGTTGTCCTGCGGGTGCAACGCTGTGCAGCCGACTTGGTGCAGCACTGCCATGTTATAGTCTGCAGTCCACTTAGAGGTCGCGGATGCCCATGAAACCCCCTAAGCAGAATCTGACGTCTTCAAACCGCCTCTGTTCAAAACGCCATCACGATCAGCTCCAAATTTATACGAGGCTTAAACCTGGACAGCGGTTAGCCTTAGGTGTTTGCTTTCCAACGGTATATTGCTTGCTGTTATCAGAGGTGTGTGCACTACGCAGTGAACAAAAACGTAAGCTCGGCTGAAAAACGTGTAGTTTCATTGATGCAAGGAAGAGGTGAGTACAACATTGCCTAGGGGACTCATAAGGAGTTGGGTCATCCTGGGAACTCAGAGAAGGTTGAGTCCTAGGGGAGAAAGGCTAGAGAAGAATGGGAAACCTCCTAGCTAGGTCAGCAAAGCCAACCACACTTGGATGTTCAGAGCTGTACTCAAGGCTACCAATAGTGAGTCAAGCCAACATGAGTCAGCTTGTCTTCCCACTTGCACCCTCTTGAAAGCTGCTTCCAGGAAGACCACACTTTTCAAAAGGAGGGTTGTAGATTCCCACTTGACCAACTGTGCTTCTTGTCTCATTCTCTGTCCCTGCACCATTGGCATGACAACAATGAAAGGGTGGCAAGGGAAATGCTGCCAACAGTGCACCATAACCACGGAACAGTGAATTGCGGCAGCTGTCACGCAATGCTCAGATGTTGGATCGTTCTGAAACTTGGTGACCACCTGAACAGCGCGGCAAAGAACTACCAGACTGAAGTTCAGACCAAGCAGATCTCGGTAGACGAGTCAGCAGCCGAAATGGTGAACTCGGGTGTTACCAAAAAGGAGTAACACACACTTCCGGGATGCCATAAGTCTTGAAACATAAAATGTTGTCATGCCTTGGTAACTGCTTCAAAAACTCTGAAACTTTGAGGGATTGAAGAACACATGTTGAAAACCCTCCCCACAAAATTCCAGAAGCTGAGCAGGCTTGTAGGCCGAATGGGAGTGCGATGACCGTGCCACTGTAATGTGTTGGCACAACAAACTCCCCCTCATCGTGCTCTCATTCATCCCTTAGCTGCTCCTTGAAGCTGCCTCCCTTAGTTGAAGAACATGCCACACAAGGTGGCACAGGTACGATGCTGATGCTCTGCAAGCCGCTTGGTCAAGAAATCTGCAGGTTGCTTGGTAGTGTTTGCAGAGATAACTGCAGCAACGGGAGCTAGGCTACGGGCTAGGCACGTGTGCTCGTGTGATCTCTGCGTTCGTTAGTCCTTAGTCGTTTTCCTTGTGCACACACTACTTGCTAGTTCACGGGGAAAATTGGCAAGAGTTTCACTAGGAAAAGTTCAGAACAATGAGTACAATGAAGTTGGCATAGCAAGACTACATCAGAGCAAGCATTCAGGTCGGCCAACTGCCAGCGCAGCTTGGTCGACCGCGTTCCAGCACGACTTGGTCGACCGCGCTCCAGCAAGGCAAGGTCGACGGCGTGCCAACGTCGCAGGTTGATGGCGTGACAGCGTTGCTCACGCAGGACAGCAGTAAACCCTGCTTCGCAGTTGCGCGCAGATGATTGGCGTGCAGAGTCTCGTCACCTGCACAGCGCACACACCACGTCAACCTCGAGCTGACGACTGCTACTCATCCGCAACGACGACCTCGGGATACCACCACCGAGGTCGGGCTCGCCAACTTTGCCTAGGCGACCGTCGCACTCCTCCGCAGCACTTCGTCACCCAGGTAACCTGGTCGACCAGGCAACCACGTCGACCAGCAGCTCCCGTACGTGCCCGTCGACCTCCCAAGTCGACGGCCACCTCCACGTCGACCTCACCAGGTCGACGATACCATCGGTCGACCTCTTCCAAGTCGACGTCCCCTCTGGTCGACCAGCTCCACGTCGACCAGTACTCCTGGTCGACCAGCTCCTCGTCAACCAGCACAGTCGTCGCCCAACCACCCACGTCGGCCACCCGAAGCTGGCGTCACGAAGTTGACGCCCTGCTACTCGACGCCCAACTGCTCGGCGTCCTGAGTCGAGGTCGACGTCAGCCCCTCCTTCGTCGACCACCAGGTCCAGTCGACCACTAACAGGTCGACCAGTAGTCCGTTAGCCGACCGCCGAAGTCGGCTTCCCCAAGTTGACGTCACCAAGTTGACGTCCTCCGCAGGTCAACTCCCAAGTCGACCTCCCTGAAGTCGGCGCCACCCTGAAGTCGGCGCCCGTGCAGTGGTCCCCCGTGCAGGTCAACCTCCTCGTCGACCAGCTCACCCACTGCTGCAGGTCTGCTGCTCCCCTCACACCCGACCACGAGGTCGGCTCCGCCCAAGCGAGGACGGGGCCAATACCCAACTCCCGTTGACACTCCCCTGCCGCGTTCACGCTTGGGCACCCAGCCCCCACGGCAGTACAGCTCGGAGAAAAGCTCGTCGACGTGCACCCAACACACAGCACATCGTCCACCGCACCAGCCATGCAAAAGGGCATGGCACCTACTGCTGCACGTCGTCGACTTCGTTGCCCACGTCGGCCAAGCGCACCTGGCCGATGGCGACGGAGCACCGGTGTGCTTGACCTTGGCCGGTTGAAGGCCGGATAGTACACCTGTGTGAAGCCCTTCACGACCAGCCTTGCCTTCTCTCGCTCGACGGTGTCGTCGATGTGATACTTCGTCGACAACACCCACCGGTTTTTCATGACGTTCACCCCCGGCGGGCGTTCGACCAGCTCCCAAGTGCCCATGTTGAGGAGGCTGCAAATCTCCTCCTCCATGGCGGCCTTCACCGCTGGGCCCTTCCAGCTCGCCAGCGCCTCCTTCAGCGTCATCGTCGAGATGTCCCAACGGTGCTCGGGGTCGGCTAGCATGTCGGGGTCGAGCTCCGGGAACTCCTCATCCTCCTCGGCGTCATCGTACAGCAGGTCGTCGTCATCGTCCACGTCATACACCGTGGTGAAGGCAGCGGGGACGAAGAAGTCAGGCGGCCTCCGAAGTCGGCCTGAACGCCGTGGTCCTGGCTGGGCCTCCTCGGCATCCCCTCCATCGTCGCTGTCGTCGCTGCCCTCGGCGTCCTGCTGTTCCTCAGATAGCGTACCAACCGACTGCTCCACTGTGGTCGGCTTCCCAGCCGACTTCTCCCCTGTGGTCGGCTCCCCTGCCGACGGCCCGGTCGCCGACTGCTCCGTGGTCGGCTTCACGGCAGCCTGCTCCCTTGTCGGCTGCTGCTCCTCGACCTGCTCCTCCCCTGTCGACTGCAATCCCTCGTCGATTCGCCGCTCGTCACGTCGGCCACCGGCGATGCACTTGGCCGGCGCCGAAGGCGGCGTTCCACGACTCCCCGCATCGCCGGAGGCCGACACCGAGGTCAGCCCACGCAGGTCGATCACGAGGGGAGGGGCAGGGGTGTGGACATCCTCAACGTCCTCAGTAGCAAGCTCGCCAACCTCGGCAAGAAGCGGCAGCGTCGCCGACGAGGTGTCAGAGGGCGGAGTGGATGACGAGCGGCCGGACACCGGCCCACACTCCGTCTTCCACTCGGCCAGCGACATCTCCTCGTAGAACACCACGTCCGACGTGGTGACCACCCGGTCGGTGTCGACGTCGAGGAGCTCCCAGCCCTTGCTCGCCGCCGGCACGCCAAGGTGCAGGCCCCACCTGGCCTTTGGCTTCAGCTTCCCACCATGCTGCTGCTCAGGGACAAGGAACTGCGCCATGCAGCCCCACACCCGCGCCAGCGACAAGTCGGGCTTCTTCCCGGTCAGCAGCTGGTACGGCGTCGTCCCCGGCGGCAGCGTCGACCTCTCTAGACAGTTGCGGACCCAGACGGCCTGCCGCAGAGCGAGGTGCCACCAGTGGTGCTGCACACCCATGTGCAGCAGCATTGTCCGCACTGACTCCACCACCGTCCTCATTTCCCGCTCCACCATGCCGTTCTGCTGCGGGGTGTATGGGCAGGTCAGGTCGTGGACGATCCCCTTGCCGTTCACGAAGTCGGTGAGTTGCTTCCCGAGGAACTCCCCTCCCCGGTCAGATCGCAGCATCAACACCGGCTTCTTCGTCTGCTGCTCAGCCACCGCCAGCCACTGAACGAAGGCCTGCAACGCATCTGACTTCTTGGCGACCGGCTTCACCCACACGTAGCGGGTCTTGCGATCCTTCAGCAGCAAGAAGTACAGGCTGCCATCCTTGGCAGCCACGCGAAACGGCCCGCACAGGTCGATGTGCACAACGGCCAGCACGTCGTCGGCGTCGGAGCCTTGGTCGGGGAAGGTGTGCCGCGCCAGTTTCCCGCCGACGCACGAGACACACGGGGGGTCGGCGTCCGTCGCCGACTTGAGGTCCGGCCCAATGGCGACCTCGTTCTTCGCCGAGCTCCGTATGGTGTCCATGCCGACGTGCGCAAGCCTCGCATGCAGTCTGTCTGGCGTCGACTTCGTCTTCGAGACGATCGACCGCAGAGCCACAACCTCCGTCGTGGGCGGCGTCGACCTCGTCGCGCAGGGACGCAGGTCGGTGTAGAGGACTCGCCCGGAGTACGTCGCCCGCCCGAGCACCTCCCCTGCTGCCGAGACGAGCAGCATGCTGTCGCCGTCCTCCTGGAGCTTCACGCCGTGCTCCTTCAGCTGGCCGGCCGACAGCAGGTTGGCCCGCACACCCGGGACGTACAGCACGTCGGAGATGAGCACCTCCTTACCGGCCTCTCCTTGCAGGGAGGCGGTGCCACGGCACTGAACGTCTTGCAGCGCCCCATAAAAGCCGCGCACGTGCTTGATGGAGCCACTCGGCTGCAGGTCGACGAAGGCTTCCTTCGTTCCCATCAGGTGGTGAGAGCAACCGCTGTCGAGCAGGACCACCGCTGGGTTCGCCTGCAAAGCCGCCGCCACCGCCTCGAAGTCCTCTCCGGCCTCCGGCGCCAGAGAGATGGTCGGCTCCACGACGCCGACCAGCGAGCACGACGCCATCTTGTCGTCTCGCCCCTTGCCGCCTGCAACGGAGTCGGCGTCCTTCGCCGAGGTCGATGTTGTCGACTGGTTCTCCTTGCGCGACTTGTTCCCTCCTCGACGAGGACGACGGCTGCCAGACCTCCCGCGGCCTCCCTTGGCGTCGTCGTCGTCGGAGTCACTGCGGTCAGGGCACTCGAAGGAGAGGTGGTCGGGGGTGCCACACAGCCAGCACTCCCGTCGTCGACCTCCTCCTCCTCGACCGCTGTTCTTGGTCGACTTGTTATTGTCGACCTCCTTGGCCGGCTTCCAGCCACTGCTACCACCACCGCCAGACTGCCCGCGCTGCCCCGGTCGGCCTCCTTGCTTCGCTGAGGTAACCGAGTTTGCCTGCGCCAAGAGCTCCTGCGATCGCTCAGCCTCCTGCATCGCCTCGTCCTGCAGGATATACAAGGTCAGGTTGTCCTCGTTGAGCGTCGCCCTTGTGCTCGGCGCCATAGACAGCCGCTTCAGCAGGTTGTAGCTGCTAGAGAGACCCTGCATGACATGGGTGATGTACGACGCCGTGGAGTACTGCGCGCCGGCCATCCTGATGGTGGCGAGAATTCGCCTGGCTCGGTTGCAGTAGTCGGTCGCACTCTCCTCGTCGCCCATACGCAGGTGTGTCAGCTGTCCCTCCAGCTGGGTGATGAACAGGTCGTCGGTGACCTGGTACGTCGACTCAATGAAGTGCCACGCCCGGTGGCCAGCGTCGAGGTACTCCCGGCACCACTTCAAGGCGATCTGCACGCCCGGCGAGCAGCACCGCGAGATGACCGTGAAGGTCAACAGCTGCACGGCGCGAAACTCCGCACGCAGGTCGGGGTGGTGCTCACCCGGCGTCGCCACGGTCCCTCGGGCGAAGCCGATCAGCCCGGCCATCTCCAGTTGGGGCTCGATGGCTTCCTTCCAGGTGAGAATGTCGAGTCGACCGACCAGCGGAGGGGTGACCGAGATCCTGTCCGGCGTAAACTTGAAGTAGCCGTAGCTCGGTGCAATCCCACCTGCCGTCACCTGGGACGCCGTCATCGGCGACAGCCCACTTCGACGCCCACCGGCGTCACCATGTGAGGAGCCTGCAGCCGCCGACGACTGCATCCCTCTCGCCTGAACGCCGCCGGCTTCACCGGCGTGTATCACACCTCGGTGCCTCGACGTGCCTCCCGCACTGCTGCCGACCTGACCTCCACCGGCGTTGACACCCACGTCGACGCCGCCGTCGTTGTTCACCGGTCGAGGAGAGGCAGGTCGAGAAGGGGGGTGCTCCGCCGCCCACACGGAGCGGAGTCCGGCTTCGACGACTGCCCAGGGTATCGCCCCATACTCCTGGGCCTCATGGCGTCTCCTCGCATCTTCCAGCCGTCCCTCCAGGGTATGCATCACCTCGGCGTCGCCTTCGCGCACGCTAGTGACTGCACGGCTGCCGGTCTACGAACGCGATCGGGATGTGCTAAGTCGACTAAACTGAACTACGTCGCAGTGTCTTCCACGCTCATTGCACCATGCGGAGATAACTGCAGCAACGGGAGCTAGGCTACGGGCTAGGCACGTGTGCTCGTGTGATCTCTGCATTGTTAGTCCTTAGTCGTTTTCCTTGTGCACACACTACTTGCTAGTTCACGGGGAAAATTGGCAAGAGTTTCACTAGGAAAAGTTCAGAACAATGAGTACAATGAAGTTGGCATAGCAAGACTACATCAGAGCAAGCATTCAGGTCGGCCAACTGCCAGCGCAGCTTGGTCGACCGCGTTCCAGCACGACTTGGTCGACCGCGCTCCAGCAAGGCAAGGTCGACGGCGTGCCAACGTCGCAGGTTGACGGCGTGACAGCGTTGCTCACGCAGGACAGCAGTACACCTTGCTTCGCAGTTGCGTGCAGATGATTGGCGTGCAGACTCTCGTCACCTGCACAGCGCACACATTACGTCAACCTCGAGGTGATGACTGCCTTTGATCCGCCACGACGACCTCGGGATACCACCACCGAGGTCGGGCTCGCCAACTTCGCCTGTGCGACCGTTGCACTCCTCCGCAGCACTTCGTCACCCAGGTAACCTGGTCGACTAGGCAACCACGTCGACCAGCAGCTCCCGTACGTGCCCGTCGACCTCCCAAGTCGACGGCCACCTCCACGTCGACCTCACCAGGTCGACGATACCATCGGTCGACCTCTTCCAAGTCGACGTCCCCTCTGGTCGACCAGCTCCACGTCGACCAGTACTCCTGGTCGACCTGCTCCTCGTCGACCAGCACAGTCGTCGGCCGACCACCGACGTCGGCCACCCGAAGCTGGCGTCATGAAGTTGACGCCCCGCTACTCTCCTCCGTTGTCAGTGCGGATCACCTTCACCTTGTGTCCGCTCTCCCTTTGTGCTCTCGGCATCCACTCCTTAAGAACAGCCGCTGCCACCTCCCCCTTAGTCTTGAGAGGGTACACCCACACCGCACGCGTGTGGTCGTCCACAATTGTCAAGAAGTAGCGGCTGCCCGAGAGAGAAGGGGCCCTTGTGGGGCCCACCACATCCATGTGCACAAGCGCGAGTGGAACCTTGGCTGGTCCCGTGCTGCTGCTGAAAGGGAACTTGGTGAACTTTGTCTCAAGGCATGTAGGGCAGCTCCCAATCTCCTTCGCTGCCCCCTTCACCTCCAATCCCTTCAAGCTCCCATCCTTCACCAACTTCTGCAGCATAGGAATGTTGATGTGGCACAGCCTCTCATGCCACGTCTCCCAATCGGCCTCACCACTCCCAGATAAAGCCTTTGCCCATGCAGCCGTTGCATCCACACCAGCAAGCACTTCACCATGTGATTGCTGTGGCTGCTGCACCTTCTTGACTGTATCCAGGGCCCCAGCAGTTGGTGCAATCTCCTCTCCTCCCGCAGTTGCCTTAGCCGCTGCCGCTGCCTTTGCCGTTGCTGGAGGTTTCCCATTCCAAGGGATGATGGGCAGCTGCCACAGGTCCTTGATGCAGCTGCTCTTCTCCTCCAAATCCCACAGCAGCAACTTCCCAAGCTTTGCACGGCAGCTGGTTGGGCCGAACGTGACTTTGGCCTTGCTTTTCTGCAGCCGGCGCACAGAGAGGAGGTTAGCGGATAAACCTTCAACCAGCAGCACATTTCCCAGCCCCACAAGCCCCCCTATTAGCTCCTATAACCTTGGCATTCCCAACACCAATCACAGGGAGCAAGGCACCTGAAGCGGCAGCCACAAATTTTATCTTCCCAGGGGGCTTCACCTCATCAAGCAAATCTGCCCGTGGAGTCATGTGACTCGTGCAACCTGAATCGATCACCCAATGAGTGAGGGGGTGCATCACAACCTTCCCAACTGAGCCCACATCACCCCCACTCCCTTTCACATCCTCAACCATTAGGAACATCCCAGGGTCGGCTTTACCTTGTGCACCATCACCTTGTGCACCTGAACCTTGCACAGCACCACCTCGTGCACGTTCACCACTTGGCGGCTTCATGCCTGGAGGGGCCCATCCCTCAGGGCGGCTGAAACACTTGAACCACGGGTGTCCAGCCTTCTTGCAGTACCAGCACGCACCCTCCATTCGGGTGCTCCCCCTGCCACCAGAGCTCTCATGCCCCTCATTGTAGTCACCTCGGCCTCTTCCTCTGCCAAAGCCTCTCCCACGGCCTCGACCTCTCCCCCCCCCTCTCCCCTGCTGCCTCCTGCAGCTCCATACCCCTCAGCAGTTTTGTTGGCAGCACCACCTCCCGTGTGGCGCCTGCGGAAGTCCTCCTGCAGGATCTGCTGCCGTAGCCACTCAGGCGTCCACTTGTCCTGCTGAGCGTTGAGGGTGGGGATAAGGTTGTCCCACGAGTTGTCAAGCACCGAGATGATTTTGGTGCACTGCTGCATTTCCGACACCTTGCTGCCGGCCGCTGCCATCCTCGCATAGGTGTCCTTGATCTTGTCAAGGGCCGGCTTCACATCATCTCCCGGCCGCATGGAGAGGGCAGCCAGCTCCTTCTCCAATACGATCACCATCGGCAGCGTGTTGGGTTGAACCACGTCGCGTAGCAGCTTCCACGCCTTCGGTCCGGAATCATCCAACTCCACCAAATCCTTGATGTGCTGGAACATGTCGTTGTTGACCGATTGAAGGATGAGGTCGTACAGCACCGCGCTCTTCTCAATCCACCGATCGCGAGCATCTCCTTCCTCGGGCATCTTCTCCTCTCCAATAGCCAATTTCAGCAGCTTGTAGCGCTTGAAGGCGCTCCTCATCCGCCCAATCCATTCTTCATAGTTGGAGCCATCCAATGCCTCAATCTTGGATGGTGGCGGCTCACTCTTCTTCTCAGCTCCTTCTCCACTCCCTCGATTCATCTCCTCTGCTCCCAATCAGAGGTTTCAGCTCCCCCCTTTGCTGGTCACAATGTAGATCCACACAATCTTCACAAGTGTCGGCGCCAACGAAATTTCGGCAGAGTTTCCCCTTAGCGGAAGTCACATCCAACCTTCAGAACTCCACTTAGGCACGCCCACAGGCCATGGTGGGTCTAGGAGGGTCTTCACACTTCAGTAGACTCTCCAAAAAGTCCTTAATCTGCTCTGATACCACTTGTTATAGACTAAGGACGGAGTCTATGAAGATTAGGTGCCAAAAAATCTCAAAATCGTTGGCTTAGAATTCTGGACAGAAAACGTCGACTTCACAAGAAACGCCGTCGACGGAAGGTACACTGTTAAAACTTCACTAAACTTAATTATGTTGTAGCTCTAGACCGTGGCAACAGTTCCCAATTTGAATCGTACAATAAGGTGAAGTATTTCTTGAGTTATGAATTTCGGCGCACTAGGGGGTATGCTGCCATAGAATATTAACTCAATCACAATTCTCTCACAAGCTCACAATTAACTACACAAGAGAGTTGGAGTAGCACTAAACCAGGTGGGATGGGATGAGGAGGACAAGAAGGAAGGTCTGTCTCACCACCCTCCGCACTAGTGACACCCGCTACCGCACTGCGCTTCCTGCTGACTTCTGCGCCAAGAACCCCCCCCCCCCATGTACATCACTCTCTACTTTCTAGTCACTCGCCTCCCTGACTCCCTTCGTGTAGTCTGGGACCACTTCCTCGCGGTCTGTCCCACCACTCTCACAGTCGACAGCCTCGAGAAGGCCCTCCTAGCGGCGGAGAAGAGCATAGTTGTTGTAGGAGCCTCTCGAGGTGACCCCCGCGCCCCCATCTTTGAGGGGTGTTCTCCTTCCCCTCTCTTGCCCTCTATCGCCTCTGCCGCTGCAGCCGACCTCGTTGGTCTTGAGTCGGTCGGTGCGGTGTCTGCCCCTAGCGGGAGACGCCGCCCTGGCAAGGGCAAGGGGGGCAAGGGAGCAGGTGGGGCCAGCGGGGGTGGTGGAGGTGGAGGCGGCGGAG